TCGAACCAGTTTGGCCTTCTCCAAGCCATGACTTCGCCTAATCCGAGTTAATTGCCCACACCTCTGGGTTAATCGGTTAGAACCCATCACTGTTTTTTATCCTAGTAATTTTACAAGTAGTTATTTGTAGTATTTAACGTGTTCAAGTTTGGTTCACCTTGACTTCACATCGACAGATACAGTACAACCTGGTGTGACTTTGTTTCCTTCCAAGATAAGAAGTTGTTTACACCAAAAGAAACGAACGCATTGAGGTTTATCTGAGGCCACATTGGCTTTGCCCTGTCTGTGTGAGTCTCCCCAGTTGCTTTTTTTTTTTTTCGAAAATGCAGATTTGAGTGTTTTTACTTTTGGGCCAGGTTGGAATACTCTGGAGTTAAGAATTGGTTGGTGGGCACAGACCTGAAGACAAGACTGTCCCTTCTTTGTCACTGACTTGTGACCTTGGAGAAGACCTTGTCTTCCTCTGGTCTGTTTTCCTTCTAGAAAAGGAGATTGGATTAGGATGCTGATATCCTTTTCCAAGGAAATAACAGATGACCCCCACCTTACCAACCTAGTAATGGGTACTGTCTCTCCAGACCCATCAGTAACAAAATCATTGTCTTCGACTTCTAAGTACTGTGCTTTTGTTGTTGCTGGTTTTAAAATTTTTTGTAAAGAAAGGAAGATTCTTGGAGTCTGGTCATTGGCAAAATGCTTCAACTGGTAAGAAAAACTTGTTGGTGGCTAACATTTTCTGCTGACATTTAGGATGACAGTGGTAGAAAGGACCTTGGCATTCATCTCCAAGCTAGCGTGCCAACCGCATTTTCCAAAAAGGTGGCCTGACTAGGAAGAAACCGCTTCTCACTGTGATGAGGAATGACAATTGTTTTGTTATTCACGAATAAGTTACTTACATAGTTTGCAAACCGCACAGAATTGGTTGCTGAATTGGTGGCTCATTAAAATAGGAGACTAAAATAACCTTTTTCTACTCAATGCTTATTAAATTCTTGCCTCAGCAATAGTTAATTTTTGTCTAAAGAAGGTAGAGGAATAGACTCTTAGTTTTTCCAAGCTTCCTAGGCTCCAACCTCAACTTTCTGAAGGAGGATTTCCGGGAGAGAGGTCTGGTCATTTTGAATATTTAACAAGCCCCCAAGTGATCCTTATCAAGCAAATCTGGGACACAATGGCTCAGGTGTTGCATTTCAAAGTTGTTCTGCAGGACAGGCATTATCAGCCCCCTCCTGGGAGCCTGTCAAGGCGGCAGATTTCTCTGGTTCTACCTGAGGCCTATTGAATCAGAATCTGCATTTTTAACAAGCCCCCCAGATGATTCATGTGCACCTTTAGGGTTTGAAGTGGTAGGGCGGGCTGTGGTGCTCTGTACTAGGCCTTGTTCAAAGAAGGAGCGATACATGTTCACAGTTCATCATCACATCAGTCCGATGTGGCTATTTGTGATTGTCTTTGTATTATAATATCTTTATAATTCACCTTGTACAGATGTGGACCCCAGCTGTAGAGGCCCAAGGGGCCACCTTGCCGGTGGAGCAGGCATTCACACCCAGGCATGTGACTTTGTGGATCTCCTGATCTTTGCTGCCTGCATGCTCCTTCCAGACTTACTGTCTTATGACCTCCTCTTAGGCACCCAGCACAGGCTGCTGTCTGAATTTAGAGCTGAGCCTATTGGACTGATAGTCTGATGAGGTTTGGATTGTCTGGTTGGCTGGATTATTTGATGTTCATTTTTAAAGTTTGTTGAAGTGCTGCCAATGACTGTAGCATTGATACTCAGGGAAAGTTGTTGATCCCTGATCTTTTTATGGGCGGTTGATCACTAAGCTGCACTGGTACCTTGCACCCCCTTCCTTTGGAGCACTGTAGGGCCCATTTCCTGACTCCCAGAGGTTCGGGTTCAGTAACTTGGCAGCAGTCCTAGAGAGCAGTAGGCTGCAGAGGCTGGACTAATGGTCAACTCTTGCCTCCTCCCAGGGACATGCAGTGCCTGTCATAAGCTCCACAGAGTTGCCTTCCACGGAGACCGGCAACAACATGAAGTCCAATCCTGCCATCCAGGCTGCCATTGACCTCACGGCAGGGGCCGCAGGTAACCCCAGAGAAAACTCAATCGTCTGTGTTCCTCAAGTACCTTCTAGGCATCATCAAGTGAAAGTAGTATAAAATATTACCTTTGTCACCCCAGAAGCAATATTTTTTAACCTGGGAATGAATCTACTTAATGGAAGTGTGGTATTGTTCAGAGCATGGCAGAAGGTAGAGTAGTACCTGTGATATCAAAACTTTATGAGTCAGGATGAGTGGTGGGAATGTCTCTAGTATAGTTGGAAAACAGCTCAGAGATAGTCGCTTGTCCATTGTCATACAGCTGGATATGCAGGTGGTATGGGACTCCACTCCAAGTTTGGCAGTCTTCAGAGCCCTTGTCGTGCAAAAATAACACCATGCCATCTCTCCAAGGAAACACCAGTTACTCTTCTTACTAGTGTTGCAAAAGAAAGGAGGACACCCTTTAGAAATGTCTTTAAAAATGAGACTGATGTTCTATTGTGTCTTAGCCGTGAAAGGAAAGGAGAGGTGGCAGGATTTGTTGGGAATGGCCAGCTAAGACTGAACTCAGGAACCCAAGCCCAAGGGCGGACTGAGTCTCTCCCTGGCAACCACAGGCCACTCTTTAGAAAGCTTAAGGTGCAGGAATAGCAGGAACCTCAGCCTGAGGGGAAGGAATTTGAAGTGAGTGGTGGTGGTGTAGTTCTCCAGAGTCCTGCATTATCTTAGGGCTGGAGGAATGCTGGCATGCTCATATTTTACAGATGAAAACTCTGCCCTCTCACACCTATTCTTATCATGGTTGTAGCTCCCTGGAGTGGGGAGACCAGAGGGGAGGGTTGCCCAGTGTTCTCTTATCCAGTGTAACCTCTTGGGTCAACAGATCAAGAGTGGTCAGGGGCCGCTGCCTCTCATCCTGTCATTCACTAACTGTAAAAGAGAAATCGTTGTTCAGAGAAGAGCAAAGTATTTTTCCATGAACCAAAGGTCAGACAAGGTAGGCTAATGAGGAAGGCTGGGGACAGCCTATTACAGATGCTGATAAGGAGCACAAGGCAAGGGCACCTCTCAAGCACAGAGAGTGTCCCAACCCAGGAGCAGAGGAAACTAAGGCCATCTGGGCTCCACCCCAGGGTTCTCTTGTCCAGTACAGTCCTTTGGGTCATTCTCTCACCCTGCTGTGGAAATGAGCTGCAGCCCCCAGGTCCCAGGCCACACTGGAGGACAGGCAGATGCTGACTTGAGAAGGGTGCAGCCGTCTGCCTACCTCTGGCCTCCGCACATCGCAGCAGTGCTCTGGGCTCAGTTATTGTCTCTGCAGTAGCAAAGTGTTTAACCACACGAGATTCTCCTCTTCTGGCATTTTATGTCCTTCAGTCAATCTGTCAGAGATCTACGATCTATTGTGATACAATTAAAAAGCTTACCTTTTCCTATTTATGTGCATACAGGTATTTGGGTGCCACATTTGTAATTTACAGTCAGTGTTAAAGATGTAAACTGCAATAGGATTGTTAGGAACCTGGTATATAAGACAGTTGATGATGGGTATGTTTTTAACAAGTTTCGTATTAACATGTATGGGCTGTTATACTCATACATACTGACACTGTTCCTAATAACTGTGTTTCTCCCTATGCTAGCAACACAGGGACGCCCTTCACTGATGTAGAGCTGCTGTCTAACTTCACAGAACAGCAAGCTCCGTTGTGGGGGGTGGGGATGGGGTCTTTGGGTCGGAGGCTGGGCAGAGGAGGTGCCTATTAGTAACACAGGAACCTCCATCCTACTGTGAGGCACTTGGGGTGCCAACCGGAAGCAGTGAGCCCACTGTTGAGGGGCTCAAGTCTTTGAATGAGGAAGCTAGAGAGACCTTTGGACATTGATGGCTCTAATGCTTGTTGTTTGTGTAGAAAAGAGGCCCTGTCATTTATTAATGGCTTGATAGGTCTTTGAGAACCTGCTAGGCGTCAGGCTCAGTGGCTGGTGCTAGTGTTCAGGATAGTCATCACTCATTTGAGGGGGACACGGTGAGCTCCATGACCATGTTGTTAGGGGTAAATTACTTTCTACAACTTAGGTGGTATAGCTGTATATGTCAAAGTTAAGAAATTATATATCTTAAATATTTTATGGAAGCCTTCTTTCAATTTGAGGAAACTTTAATAACCTCACCAATTGGTTATGTTTCCTAATACAAGCAAGGGATGTGTGACATGCGGTGGCCCCTCAAGCAAAGGGGAAGGTGGTACATGTTAATCAGTGGCAGTTCCCAGGATGCTGAGTCCAGACCAGGGTCTGGGATATTAGAAGGTGGTTATAGTTCATTCCTTTCCTTACGCTCAGAATTTTTATTGAGGTGATCTAGTGTCATTTAGACTTTGCTGTATTTAATATTCTTACAGTGTACAAGCATATAGATGAATTTATGCTAAGCAAAGGTAAATTTCAGTCCATTACCTATCTAAATACAAATCATTAAGTAGTAGAGTTCAAATTAAAGTTTTTCCATAGGGTCAAATATTTATCTCTTCAGGGATTAATTAGCCAGACGCCTTGTTTTCTTTATTTGGTGCCTAGTTCTCTGTTATTTTTCTGATAGTTATCAGAACTCCTGGGCATTAGGCAGAGAGGGGTGATGAGCTTCTTCCAGGTTTTCCTCTTCCCTGTATATGGTTTCTGTCTCTCTCAACACAGTAGCTGCTGCTTATTAACCATTTGTTGTGTGGCAGATGCTGTGCTAAGTCCATCTCCTCCTTTTTACTTAATCCTCACGCTAACCCTGTGAGGTGGCCGTGGATGAGGAACTGAGGCTCAGAGGTTAGTTCACTAATCCAGGATCTCACAGCAAAGCCAGGCTTCAGCCCAAGTTCCTCTGACCCCATTGCCGAGGCTCTTGAACACATGTCACACCTTTGCATCCTGTGATTTTCTCTGTTGAATACATGTCTGTCTCCCCTGCCAAGTGTGAGCTCCTTCAGGGCAAAATTTGGGTGCCAGGCACATTGGGGACCTGCTGTAAATTATTTATTGGACTCGGCTAGAAGGTTTGGGAGGAAAAGAGGTCAAAAGGAACTGAAGCAGAGGTAAGGCCTGGGGTCAGCCACCTGTCCCTCATTTCCAGGGGTAATTAAAGCTACCATCTAAAACAGTAGCCATTTGTTAGAGAAGACTTCCGTCCTGGTTGCAGGGGGCACGGCATGTGTGCTGACTGGACAGCCCTTCGACACGATGAAAGTGAAGATGCAGACGTTCCCCAACCTGTACCGGGGCCTTACCCACTGCTGCTTAAAGACGTACTCCCAGGTGGGCTTCCGTGGCTTCTACAAGGGCACCAGCCCAGCGCTGATTGCCAACATCGCCGAGAACTCAGTCCTCTTCATGTGTTACGGCTTCTGCCAACAAGTGGTGCGGAAAGTGGTTGGATTGGACAAGCAGGCAAAGCTGAGGTGAGTTGAGGGCACTGACACTTTTTGTTTTTTTTTCTGGAAAAATACCCACTGTAGTATGGTCATGGTTTTAATATCTTTTGGGGAAGAATGCGTCCTTTCTTAAAATACTTTCTTCATGATTATGAAGTCATACATTGTCATCATATGACTTGGAAAGCACATATGCATTACACAGAGGAGATTTGCCCATGACCCACGACTGGGAGCAAGCCCCCTTACATTTTGGTCTCCTTCAGGGGGCTGCTTTTCAAACCTTGCAATGGTGCTTCCTGCCTTATCAGTAGAGGTGCTGGACTAAAACCGTGATGCAACTTGTGACCCAAGTTTTAGGTTCCATTTCATTAGAATACTAGAAGAGATTGCTTGAGCCAAGTAGATTTGAGGAGAAACTTGGAATTTTAGCAAGAGGTGGAAGTACCTGAGGAGATGCAGGTGAACTCACATTTCTTTAGCCAAGTCTTCCCCAAACATCAGACTTTGGCTTGTGCTTGGTCCTTTCTTGGGTATTCATTTTACAGAGACTGAAAAGAATTTGGAAACACTGGAGGGTTTAGCCATCTCTCCTTTGAATGATGATTTATTTTAAATGATTTAGAATTATATCAGCTTCATGGTTGCAAAGGGTAGTCTCGTTGGTTGTTTCAGTAGGAATTGAAACCCTTTTGCAACTACAGATCCCACATGACTCAAGGGGGTTCTTTGTGTACAGAATTGTCCTCTGGAGATGCCTAGAGGTCTCAAGATGTGCCCTTTTATAGGCAGGAATTCTGTCATGTTAGATGGAACTAGTGTTTTTTAAAGGCTTAGGACTGGATAAGATGCCCCAGGAGACAGTGTAGATGGACAGGAGGGCTGAGCACTGATCCTATGACCCTCTAGCACAGAGAGGGCAGGAAAGAGAAGAAGGAAAAGAAATAAGCAGGGGACAAACCAAGAGAGTGTGGCAGTCCACAGTGGAGACTGAAGAGAAGCAAAATAAGTGACTAATTTTCTTTCCAGTTGAGGGAGAGACATTCTGTTTGAGGAGACCAGGAGTTTACTTCTCCTTTAGCCTCCTTAGCAAAAGATGAAAAGGGAGAGAAGACAGGGCAACAGTGAACAACTGTGAGATTCTGGAGGAAGAACTGTGTCCTCCCTCTGCACAGAGTAGCCCCTCAAGCCATAAGACATAGACAGTGACTTCTGCCTTCTTGCATGGGCAAAACCATTAGGGATCTGGACCTGCCTGTCCCTCCCTACTTTTTCCTTGCTTAGCATGTGAACAGAGTGAAGACAAGGAAGAGCGTCTTGCTTTTTTGATGGAGAACGATATAATACTTCTCAATGCATTTCGCTGCACTATCTGCAGAGCACTGAATCAGTGTCCTTAAGAAAGGGCTGGGAAATACCTCATAGTGCCTCTCATGGGGAATCATTCTGGGGACATTTATTTTGTGTAGTACATGATGTATACTATCATGCCTTCATAGCCTTTGCCATGATCCTGTGAGAGGCGCAAGGCAGGTGTTGTCTCTGTCTTACAGATGGGGAAAGATACATGTTCAAGATCACCAAGTAAGGACATAAAACCATGTCTTTTCAGCCCCTGCCCAGTGGTCTCTCTGTCAGACCAGTCAGGGTTCTGGAATATTTTGTAAGGGTCAAATGTAGAGAGAAGACCAATCAAGAGCAGTGAAAGGAGAGAAATGCTTGTGAGAGCCTGTTGTGAATTTCTGCAATCACACTGTAAATATTTGCCTGTTCTGGGTTTGAACACATCCCAGAGTGGTGTTCTGCTTTGACCTTTGGCTGGATGGGGTCTTACAAACTAGGAATGTTCAGGTACATGTTTGTGGAGTAGATGACAAACAGTTGATTCTTACAAAATCTCGTCCTACGCCAATTGCCATTGCAATTCTAGTTCTACCTGCTAATGCTACATGCAGAACAGGGGCCCGTGTACCTCATTTCATGCAGTGGTAGATGGAAGTGTTTATTAGAAAGTCAAAGTCCACTGCAAATAGTATTTGACCTTGGCTTTGCACTGTGATATCATGTTTGGTGTTCATTCAGACATCCGAGCCATTATTACATCTTAGATTGAATAGCCTTCTACGTTTATTGACTGCCACCTTTGTTCTAGCAAACTTGGCAGACTCTGGGTAATGACCCTGATTGACTACTGCCTGTCAGCAGGTTTGACAGAGAGTCCCTGAAGAAGGCCAAATATGGATCTGCAGGCTTGTTGGAAGACAGCAGAAACCATTTTAAGTTTTGGTTTAACAAATGAGCTAAGGAGTGAAGGGAGGAGGAAGGAATGGACTGAACAGCATCAGACAGTTTCTGCACCCCATATGCTTGGGCGCCTGGCTCTCCTCTGCTAACGGTCTTAGGTTTGTCTGTAAAATTGAAAGGAAGTCTTCCTCCTGAAAAAAAGCCCCACTCTAAGCCTCTTCTGAGAGACCTTGGTGTGTGAGGGGCTGGCTCAGCCCCATGCATCTGTCTGTGGCACAGAGGCTAGACCATCAGGGAACAGGCAACCAGAGCCAAGACTGGAGATGGCCCTGATTCTTTTTTTTTTTTTTTTTTTTTGAAAATCATGTTTTATTATCTTTTTTTTATTGAAATGTCATTGATTGTACATATCTGGGGGTACAGCATTGAATATCAATACCTGTGGGCAATATGTGATCCTCAAATCAGCATTGTTAGTATATTCAACCTTACACATTTTTTGTGCCCTATACCAATTTCTCGCTAACTCCTCCTCTCCTTTTCCCACCCCTGGTGGTCTCAGTTCTGTTCTCTCCTTTTGAAAGTTCGAATTATTGTGCTCGTTGTATCTTTTTTTTAATTCTTTATTTAGTTCTCACTTATGAGTAAGGACATGTGGTATCTCTCTTTCTGTGCCTGGCTTATTTCACTAAATATAATTTCCTCTAAGATCATCCATGTTGCTGCAAATGGCAGAATTTCATTCTTTTTTTATGGCTGAATAGAATTCCATTGTGTGTATTGCCACATTTTCCTTATCCAGAAGTCCACTGATTGATATTTAGGTTGGTTCCAACTCTGAGCTATTGAAAACAGGGCTGCGATAAACACAGGAGTGCAGATATCCCTTCAAAATGATGATTTCCATTCCTTTGGGTATACACCCAGTAGTGTTATTGCTGGATCACATGCAGTTCTATCTGTAGTTGTTTGAGGAACCTCCGTTACTTGGCTGCACTAATTTACAGTCCCACCAATAGTGTAAGAGTGTTCCCCTTTCTCTGCATCCTCACCAGCATTTGTTATTCTCTTTCATAATGAACAGTCTTTTTCATAATGAACAGTCTGATGCTGAGCCATGTTGAGCATTTTTTTCATGTGTCTATTGGCCATTTGTATATCTTCCTTTGAGAAATGCCTATTCAGTTCCTTTGTCCATTTTTTAATCAGGTTACTTATTTTTTCACTGTTAAGTTGTTTGAGTTCTTTGTATATTCTGGATATTAATCCCTTGTCAGATGCATAGTTAGCAAATATTTTCTCCCATTCCATAGGTTGTCTTTTCACTCTGTTAATTGTTTATTTTGCTGTGCAGAAGCTTTTTAGTTTGATATAATCCCATTTGGTTATTTTTTCTTTTGTTGCCTGTGCTTTTGGGGTCTTATTCATAAAGCCTTTGCCCAATCCTACTTTCTGAAGTGTTTCCCCTATGTTTTCTTTTAGAAGTTTTATGGTTTCAGCTCTTATATTTAAGTCTTTGGTCCATTTTGTGTTGATTTTGGTATATGGTGAGAGGTATGGGTCTAGTTTCATTCTTCTACATATGGATGTCCAGTTTTCCAAGCACCACTTATTGAAGAGGTCATCTTTTCCCCAGTGTATGTTCTCGTTGCCTTTGTCAAAGATCAGTTGACCGTGAGTATGTGGGTCGATCCCCAGGTTTTCTATTCTGTTCCATTGATCTGAGTGTCTGTTTTTATGCCAGTACCATGCTATTTTAGTTACTATAGCTTTGTGGTATAATTTGAAGTCAGGTAGTGTTATGCCTCTGGCTTTTTTTTTTTTTCTGAAGTGTTTCCCCTATGTTTTCTTTTAGAAGTTTTATGGTTTCAGCTCTTATATTTAAGTCTTTGGTCCATTTTGTGTGGATTTTGGTATATGGTGAGAGGTATGGGTCTAGTTTCATTCTTCTACATATGGATGTCCAGTTTTCCAAGCACCACTTATTGAAGAGGTCATCTTTTCCCCAGTGTATGTTCTCGTTGCCTTTGTCAAAGATCAGTTGACCGTGAGTATGTGGGTCGATCCCCAGGTTTTCTATTCTGTTCCATTGATCTGAGTGTCTGTTTTTATGCCAGTACCATGCTATTTTAGTTACTATAGCTTTGTGGTATAATTTGAAGTCAGGTAGTGTTATGCCTCTGGCTTTTTTTTTTTTTTTTGCTCAGGATTGCTTTGGCTATTCGGGGTCTTTGCCATTCCGTATGAACGTTAGGACTGTTTTTTCTATTTCTGTGAAGAATGTCATCGGTATTTTGAGATGAGGATTACATTGAATCTGTAGATTGCTTTGGGTAGTATGGACATTTTCACACTTGATCATGGTGTACATTATTTTGATGTGTTGCTATATCTGATTGCTAATATTTTGTTGAGGATTTTTGCATCTATGTTCATCAGAGATATCAGCCTGTGGTTTTCTTTTTTTGTTGTATCTGTCTGGTTTTGGTATTAGGGTGATACTTGACTCATAGAATGAGTTTGGGAGAATGGCCTCTGTTTCAATTTATTGGAATAGTTTGAAGAGAATTGATATTAATTTCTCTTTAAAGGTTTGTTAGAATTCAGCATTAAAGCCACCTGGTCCCGGGCTGTTCTTTATTGGGAGAGTGCCAAATACTGCTTCAATTTCATTGGTTGTTATTGGTCTGTTCAGGTTTTCTATTTCTTCTTGGTTCAGTCTCAGTTGTTTGTATGTGTCCAAAAATTTATTCATTTCCTCTAGGGTTTTGAATTTGTTGGTG